CCGGAGTGGAATTAAACCGGAGTTCCGGAATTAATTTGTAATTTTGATATATTTTTGTTCCCTTTAGATTACCAGCATACCCGTATGCACGAGCTGTGGAGAAGTGCATTGCCTTAAAAGCTACTTGAAAAAAGTCACACTTCAACTTAGTGACAATGACATAATAACAAACAGATGCTTGACCTTTTCGTATTGTGGCTTTGTCGGTGAGGTTCGAATTCCAGGACATATATTTTGATAAATAAACAATTACCGGTATTCCTTATTGTACCTATTCCAAAACAATTTGGTGCATAATACGTTGACATCGGCCTGCAGCTATGAAATTCAGACTGGGTTCAAAAAAATTATCATGATCTCCATGAACCAATTGCGATAGCCTGCAATGACAATGTAATCCTCTATTAACAGCGGACAGCGACAGCGGATACAACTACAACAACTACTATTGCTGCTACTACTAGTATTATTGCTACTACTAATACTACTGCTACTACTACTCCTCCTGCTTCTGTTGCTACTATTACTACAAAAGCTGATGCTACTGCTACTACTGGATCTATCCCCAAGCTCCCGGCAGTCTCCAACACCCCACATCACAAAGGTGAGTCTAATACAAATATTCAAGAGACAATGTCGTAAACTTGGTTCCTCTGTGTCATTAGACAATGTCTTAAACTTGGTCACTCTGTGTCATTAGACAATGCCTTAAACTTGGCCCCTCTGTGTCATTAGACCATGTCTTGAACTTGGTCCCTCTGTGTCATTAGACAATGTCTTAAACTTGGTCCCTCTGTGTCATTAGACCATATCCTAAACTTGGTCCCTCTGTGTCATTAGACCATGTCTTAAACTTGGCCCCTCTGTGTCATTAGACCTTGTCTTAAACTTGGTCCCTCTGTGTCATTAGACAATATCTTAAACTTGGTCCCTCTGTGTCATTAGACAATGTATTAAACTCGGTCCCTCTGTGTCAATAGACAGTGTCTTAAACTTGTTCCCTCTGTGTCATTAGACAGTGTCTTAAACTTGGTCCCTCTGTGTCATTAGACAATGTATTAAACTTGGTCCCTCTGTGTCATTAAACAATGTATTAAGGTTTGGTCAGGGTAGTGCTGAGAGCCGCTGAGCCAAAATTTCATAATAAGCTGTTCATAAAAACAACCATCTAATCTAGTAGCTATGTAACTCTATTTTCGTAATCTGGCATCCTTTCCCCCATATGTTGCCATTTGCCCGCGAAATTCAAGTGCAAAAATTTGCGCTGTCTTGCAGTTTCCAACTCCCTGGTCGGGGGGGGTNATGCCAGTTTTGAACAGCCTGACCAATCAGACCGCGCTGTAGCGCATACATTACAATCGGCGGTAGATCCTTTACATCACATGTATGGCACAAAC